CGACATTAGAAAATCCATTAATTTTGAGAGCAGCAGCTTTTCTGAGTACAGATAGAGAGAATCCTTTTAAAAATGAGCCTTCAATTCAAAATGAATTTGTAATATCAAATGAAGAATATCAACAATTAGCAGCTGCTGCATTTCATTCTTTTCAAGCACTATTGAATAAGAATTTTGAAGAAAATGATCTTAAAAACATTCATGCATTTGTTCATAATAATCGCTTTGATTTTCTTGCAAATAATCAATTTAATGATCCAAAGTTTGCAGAAGCTATTCATTTCTGTCTATTACCAGGTCATAGTGATGTAATGTGTGAAGAAGCAATCTTAATTTTAAGTAATTTATACTTTTATCATCCTCCATTTTTGTCAAACCTTATAAGTGAGCCAATAATTGATCAATTGATAGATATTCTCAATTCACATCTAAATTTTTATATGAGGCATGATGCCTTATTAACTTTACAGAATTTCTATTTGATTTGTGAACAAACCAAAAAAATTCTCATCGACAAAGATATTTTTATATTCTTAAGAAACTATCTGATGACACCTTATCATCCAAATGAATATAGAGTTGGTTTGAAAATGCTTTATTTTTTATGTATTGATGAGTTTGAAAACTTTTTACCAAGAAAAAACACAATTGATAATTGGTCCAAATTTCTTCAATTTATTCCGATTTATCCACTCATGCTCAATAATTTATTAAATGAATGTAAAGAAAAAGCACTTTGGACACTGTCAATGATTATTAATCACGATAAAATTTTTGAATACTGTAGAGCATTGCAAATTCATTCATTATTAGCTAAATGTTGTGCTCGCATAGTGATTAATCCTTCATACGCTTATCATTTATATCGTTGTGTTTTTGCATTTGTGAAAAGGAAATATATCCGCGTATTTTCAAATATCACAATTTTTAATGGTATTATTGCAATACTATCACTGAAAACGAACAAAAATATATCATCTCTTTTATTTACTGTTGCTTTATTAATAAATAGCAATGGCAAAATGCTATATGATCTTAAAATTAATGAGTTATGCAAATTTTATGCAAACGAAGGTATTTTTGAAAATAAAATTGCTGCTTGTTATTGTTTATCGCACTTTTTGATTGATTTGCCATATCATCTTTGCGATATTCTTGCAAACGATGATATTGTTGATACTTTATGTGGAGCAATTGAATGTTTTGATGTATATGATTTAATTGCTCCTTTACGTGCATTTAGAAAATTGATTGAAATAAATCCAATATTATATCCTGGCAAATTTCTTCAAAATGGGATTGATGACTATTTATATCAAATTTTAAATGAAACTATTCCTGACTTAAAAGAAAATCCGGATTTAATTCACGAATGCCAATGCCTAATAACATACATACTGGAGAACATTCGAAATCTACCTAATCAGGCAAACTATCATTCTTTAGTATAATATCAATCATCAGTGAATGTCATTTCCATTTGTATCATTATATTGTATCCGATTATTTGGGATTGTTTGGAGGAAAAGAATATTCAAAGCCATTCATGAACTTTTCATATCCCATATATTGTCCAATGATGTACGGTCAGTTGTTTAGTGGAAAAGACAATAGTTCATTTCTTTTTTCAATGGAAGCTCCACAATAATCATGAAATGTAGAACGACACCAAAAATAGCATATTTTGCTTAGATGTTATTTAATTTTTTCAATAAATGTTCATCATGGTGAATGAGGTTTCTTGATTTTGAAAGGATAATTATGTTTTCAATTCTTCATGAAAAGGAAATCATTCTTTATAAGATTTTTCTAATTGCTGTTATGATTCCAATGATCAATATGTAATTGATTTCAAAATATCTGTTTTGTTCATGAATTTGATAAAAGGCTCTTTATAATTGTTTTTGAGAGAATAAAATTTCATTTATTATTCTGCAGTAATTAACAACACAATTTACAAACTTTTCATGTGAATAAAATCAAATAATGTAAAATTATTCAAACTTTTTAATGTTCAAATCCATTTGGATATGTAGTTGAGATTATATTACGAAATATAGCTATCTCATCAAATAGAAAATGCTGAAGAAAAATAGGTAAGGAAAAATGAAGAAAAGAACAAAAGAAGCCAAGAAAAGTTTAATAATAATAAAATTTTGTGCAAATAAAGAAAATTATTCATTTTTTTGTTTTTTTCGAATTTTTTTGCATTTCGCATTAATATTTATTTAGGAGCCGTATTTGGTTGCTGAGAAGGAATAAAAGGAATTATTGGGTTTAAATTTATAATCTGATTTGGATCATTATTTTGTTGAATTTCCGCACTTTTTGTTTCTATTAAATTTACTTGATTTGTCTGTTGAAGATGTGGAATTTGAATTTGCTGTTGCAGTAAATTTGATGGATTTTGTGTAACATTTGCTGGCAACTGTTGCTGTTGTGGAATTTGTGATTTTGGATTATTTTGGATATCTTGAATGGAATTTTGCAAATTTTGAATCACTTGTTGAGTTTTGGCTAAACTTTGTTGGGCACTAGGAAGAGCTTGTTGTTGTAAAGTTTGGAGATTTTGTTGCAAATTTGGCGGGAGATTTGGTGTCAGATTCTGTGTCAGATTTGACGGCAAATTTTGTGTCAAATTAGTCAGATTTTGAGTTTGCAAATTTTGACTGTTTTGTTGCGCAGCAAGAAGGATTTGACTTTGAACTTTAAAGAAATCCTGTTGGTTTGGAAATTGAGGCATCGTCGGTGCAGGAAAAGTCTGAATTTCTCGTTTGCACCGATTATACCTGTATCTGCATTGTACGTCTGTTCTGTTTCCGAGTTCCTTTGCAATTCTTGCCCACGAGTGAATTCCATAAATATCAACGAGGTGTTTCAAGGATGCATCTTCCTCAGGTGTCCATTTCTCCTTATTCACGTTTGGATCAAGGCAGCGAAGCCACCTCTGGCCACACTGTGAGCGTGACCTTCCCTTTCCCACAAAAGTTGACACTTTCTGCCAATCAGAAAATCCAAAATGAAATATTCCAGCAATTAAACGTTCATCTTCCTCCGTGCTCCATGGGGCAGACCTATGACGATGATTTCCCTGGTTTTCGCTCGTTTCGGGTGAATTGCCTTTGGCGGGTTTTTCATCAATTTCGGTGTAAGGACGAACTTGCAAAATTTTGAATATCTTGGGAATGCACTTTGGATCGTATCCCTCCTGCACAATTTGCTGCATTGAGAGCTCCATCTTTGTGATATTACTATTTAAAATGAAATCTTCGATAATGGCGTGAAGTCGGTCAAACTTATCCTTTTCGAGAGATCGAGGGGATCGGCCTGTTGCATAATAGATAGCGACGTCGATGAGAGGGTGCAGAAATACCATTTTATTTAAATTTTAAATTTGTTTACGATTTAAATTATTTTACAATTGTAAAATAATTTAAAAGCAATTGTAAAATCATTTCTTAAAAATTGTAAAAACTATTCTTGTCAATTTTCTCCCAAATATTTTACAATTGTAAAACACAATTCAATATACACAATAGAAAAAATAGAGAAAAACGTTGACAAAGAAGATTTGAAAGAAACAGCTATAACCAGCTTTTTGATAACATACGTTGACTTTTTCATAAAGAATCATTTAGTCATTTTTTTTGGCGCTTCATATCGATTTCATTCAAGCATTTTATGGAGATAACATTTTTATTGCATTAAATACAAGTTTTCGATGATTTAATTTATATTTGGAAATATTAGATTTTATTGGATAAACGAGTTTTGTTTCATTTCATGATAATATGGTAATTTTGGTTTTATATACATATACCCAAACATAAGTTAATCGTAAAAAAGAGAAATGATTGAAAGCAAACATACATTTTTAATATCGAAAAAATCAAATATCAAACACTTGTTTCTGATCTTGACGATTCTGATAGCATTTCACAGAGAACTTGATTACATACATTACGACTAAAAAAACGATCACGCCGATTAAAGCACCTCCAATAAAGCTAAAAACAATCTTTAAAAGCATACTTGTCCCCATTTTCTCTTTTGGAATTGGAGTTATCAATAAAAATGCAGTTTTACAATGTTGATTATTTAGGTGAATAATTTCATATGTTCCTTTGGTTTGTTCACAAAAATCGCATTCGATCAAAATTGTTCCATCCAAATTTTTCACTGTTGAAAAATCTTCAATATACGACTCAGCGAAACAAATGTAACTATTGTCAGATGCGTATGAACTTAGTCTCGTCCTGACACGAGTGATTATGTATCTTCCAGCATTCTCAACAGAAAAAAAGGTACCATCACCATTCATATTATTTATCTTGTCGATGACATAACTATCTGATGGGCCATTCAAAATGTTATTATTTTCATTTATGGAATTTCCAAATTGAGTAGTTTCAACGAATTTTAGGAATTTTGTCGGATTTGTGATTGATATTCCATTCCGTGCTTTGCAACCTGTCAAATTGGTGTTTGAGAGGGTGATTGATAGTGATGATAAAGAAAGTAAAGTTTCTGAGCCGACTTGATAAAAAGAATTCATCTGAAAAACTGAGTTTGCTGCTTTCGTGTAAATAAAATTGTTTGTACTATCTGAGGAATCTGTCATACAATTACTGTAAAATTCAAATGAAGAAAATGATTTATGTTCTATGTGAATATAGGCGATATTCTGGAAAAAGCATTCAATGATATTAATTGAAGAAATTGATTCCATTGAGATGGATGCGTCATTAATATTCTGAAAAATACAGTTGGTGATTGTGACACAATTTGGGTCAATAATTGATGTAAGATTTAGAAATAATTCGTTGTTTAGCTGTTGATTTGAAATTGTTTGTGATGATAAAATTGAGCAATCAGCTCGGATTATCTTCAAGAAATACCAAAAAGAAATGAAAAAAACCATTTGAAAAATCGGCTCAGAACTGTCTTTCCGACTTTATGATGTCAATGTGAAATTTGAACTAAATTCTAAGAAATTCAGAGACGACTTGGCCGAGTGGTTAAGGCGAGGGATTGCTAATCCCTTGTGCTTGCACGCGTGGGTTCGAATCCCATGGTCGTCGTTTTTTCTTCTTTTTTATTTAACTCTCTTTATCATCGTTGAGTTTGACTTATCGATATTTTCATTCTTTGTATTTTCGCTCATGAAACCCTTCACCAAATCATGAGATTTTTTGTGTTATCTGAGAGATTAATTTCGTTGTTTCTCGATATTTGTCACATAGATATATATATCTTTACCAAACAGCAATTTTTCTAAAACATGCAAATAAATTTTACGATCGTAAAGTTTGGTTGTATTAAATTATTACTGTCAAGTTTGCATAAGCTTTCCAGAATTTTTAAAGATAAATCAGATGAGTTTACATTTTTACTTAAGTAAACTTGATGTTATTGACAGCATTCAAATTAATACGAGTTTGAAACCATAATAACTGATTTTTGAGTAGGATAATTATTAAGAATCTCATCATTTTTATTATTTAAAGTTATAATCACATTATTAATGAAAAGGAAAATCAACAATCAACAATCAACAATCAACAATCAACTCAAGAAAAAAGTAATTC